TCGCACAAGCAAAGATCTTACACTAATTAGGCCTAGTACTTCCTTTTGCGGAAGTGGTGTCACCCATGTAAACGGAAGTGATGCCACCCACTCTAAGACATAGACTTAAGGCACGTGAAAAGCGCGGATCAACAGACGAATTAGTAGCCAACGTTTCGAGACAGAATGGTGGTTTTTAAAATGCTAGAGCTAGTGGGAAGCAGGATGGGGGTTCAGAGACTGTACATGTAAATGGAGACACGCCGGCCATGCCGATAAGAGTAAGAAAGTACCCATTTCTGACACGTAGAACGTCACTCTGTGAGCTATTGCATTAGGCTATAATCTTTGGGTTAGAGTTAAGGAAGGTAACCCTAAAAAGTCACCCCTTCAGTATTTTTCACGGTTACCTCTCTTTGACCATATTTTGAGTATTATTTCAGTCTAATCTGACATAATTTTTCTCACGCAGAATTGTTTGGATGTGCTAGATGGATAGAGCTTATTTTTCTGAGAAATTTGATACTAAAATCAACAATATTACTTAATTTTTCAGCTAGTTACAGATGTTCAAAGTTCGGTAATATTTGTTGGGTGAAAATAAGCCAGGCCAGGCTGTGTTTGGTACCTCAGCCTCAGTGACTAGACTAGATATAGACTATAGTCTATATCTATATAGACTGCTGATCCAGAACAAGATGTTTTTGGAAGATCTGGATTTAGAGGCACTCCTGTACAATTGCGGTCCCGTTTGTTTTCATGATGACCATTGTGGGAGTGAATTTAGAAGATCTAGATCTAGATCTAGATTAGATCTAAAAGATCTAGATCTAGATCTAGATCTAGATCTAGATCTAGAGTCTATCCAGAATCTAGTGATCTTTAGATTCTAGATAGCCAAGGTAATAGCCCATAGAATCTATCTTTAGATATGAACTCTAGATCTAGTATTAGACTTAGATTCTAGATCTAGATCTAGATCTAGATCTAGAATCTAGATCTAGATCTAGATCTATAGAAAATCTATATCTAATCTAGATCTAGGTCTCTAGATCTAGATTAGATCTCTAGACTCTAGGCCTAGATCTAGATCTAGATCTCTAGATCTCTAGATCTAGATCTAGGCAGGCCTATTAGTTAAGCCTCTAGATAGAGATCTAAACAACTGAAATGAAATATATTGTTTACGCTATGGTCAGCAACATTTTGTTTCGGGAGTCAATAGATTGATGCCCGATGTCGTGCACTTGTGGTTGTTGATTTATTTATAGCATTGTGAAGCTGAATCTATTTTGCTATAATAAGGCCTACACAATTAAGTTCTCATTTTCCACACTTTACATTTTGGGTTCTTTTGAGTTACTAAGACCATGACATATGCTCTACCTGCTCTGTCAAAACACTACTACTAGGCCTAGATCTAGATCTAGATCTAGATCTAGATCTAGGCTATTCGAAAAGGGATCCTTGACATTTTGTGAAACGTCATATTTCTCAAAACTAGATGTAGATTCTAGGTCTAGATTCTAGGTACTGAGCAGATATAGACTATAGACTGTAATTTTCTAAGTTAGCGGTATATATGTAATTATGTTGTCTTTTAGATCTATCTTAGTATCTATAGATCTAGATCTAGATCTAGTCTCTATGGCAACAACATTGCCAAGGCCAAGACAAGGGATCATGTTTTAATTTCCCAAACTTCTGCTACGCTGAAGTCGTAGAATTCAAGTACTGTCAAGCCAGCCCTAGATCTAATTATGTTCTTGTAGGTCTAGAATCTAGATCTAGAGTAAAATTTGGGAGGCATTTTGATTTTTTTAAAAAGGAACTGCCTATTTGCAACGCCGCTTTGCGATTAGCGCTGGCGCTAAATAAATGTATCAGTCACTCCAATTTATAATTAGATTGATGTGGGACATAATGTTGTTTGTTTTTTAAATTGTTTTTTGGATTTTGAGATATGTTTGAGAAAGCTGTGCAGTTGGCGAACTTTTGGAACAGAAAACCCTCCACCCTTTCTGAATTTCGGTCAGAAACGTACAAATTAGCGCGCTCAAGATCTCTTAGCCTTAGCTTCTCTATATGTGTAAAGATTTTAACAGTTTTGATATCATATATCGCTTCCTAGTAATAGTAGCGATAATGACTGATGTGATCCGAGGATTGTTTGGTTGGTTGTTTTGCTGTTTGTGTTAACCACATTATGCTCAGTTTGAAAATTGTCATTTTTTTTCTCATTCCAGCAATTGACAAGGTGTCCGATGGTAACTTAGAATAGGATCAGGTGATCGCAGGCCTATATGGCTTGTGGCGGCTCGTATCACAGAACAGATGGCTAAACTGTAAAATGTACCTGCACTTGCTCCGAGCTGAGTTTCAAGTTGTTTAGGTGAGCATGCTTTGTTAATTGGTTTCAGAATTTCTCAAAGTAAGTTAACTTTTCTGAGGTTTAAGCTATTGTTGAAATTCAGTAAAGAAGTCATTTGCTAGTATTGGGTCTACTTCTTTTTCTTGTCAAACTGTTGATTATATGACTATATATTGGTTTTGTCCCCTGTAGCTAGCATTGGTACATGATGTATTTTTTCGTTAAATGCGTAGTGGAAGCATATAGATTCTAGTAAAGCGTATGGAGAAATCTGTTTTTACAATAATGAAGTAACCTTTATGAGCCACATAGACAGACCCGTCCTGTACTCCTGCTAATGATAATGGAGAATCTCCAAAAATAACCACCGGATTTAGGCCCGATTAGAAAAACTTTCGTGAAGATAAAACGACCTATACAGTAACCTGTAAAATTTCACATGTGTAGAGAGAAATGAAAATAAGTATTTTAAGATTCCTAAACTTATAATGAAATGTATTTTGTATAAAGATACAGATTGCTCTTTCGGCTAGATCCAACTGGTCAATATTGAATTCTACATATCCGTTTCATTGTCTTCCTCAGAACCTGAAAATCAACTCAGACATCGGTCCACGATTGTCATTCAACTCAACTACGGGAACTTCTACTTCCCCTCCATCATCAGCCAGACCGTTAGATCTATCTCCATCAGGGGCGAAAGCTGACTTGTTTGACAGGGTAATCAAAGTGAAATGGGACCAGATAGGGCCTGGAGATATCACACTCACACAAGTCACAAGAATCTTACTGGCACTGGAGGCAGCAACTCTGAGTTGTGAATGAAAACAAATCCTGAATTCATGTTGTATGCTTGTTCAACCGCTAAAATAATCGGGAAAGTATTTCATTAAATATTTATTCTAACTAACCTTAAATTTAACTTTAGATTTGAACACACGAACACCAAGGAAAGAAGCACAGATGTCAGCACTACAATGGCATGTTATACCAGACAGCCGAAACACTTTGGTAGAGCACGCCAATTATTAATTTTTTATTTCACATTTGGCTGTTTTTTGTCTAGCTTTTCGCGGCCAGGAATCGAGGTCACGATCTGATTATAGGACGTTAAAAAGTCGAGGAAAAAAACAAGCACTAGCAATGTAGTAGCAGGAGTCAAAGGATTATTAGGAGTTAGTTCCCATCACATCTGTGAGGTAGACTCGACCAGTGTAATGGTTCGCTTAGATAATCAGTGCGTCTGGGTGCTTATAACTGTGGCCCGAAAGAGGTGAACAGGGTATATGCGACAATGAAACAGCTCTGACTGCTATGCACATGTTCCCTTCAAATCTATTGGTTGACTCTCCCAGCCTCACTTTAAGCTTACTTAATCAAAGCTGGTGACTGCTTATGGAGTGGCCCGATAGGGGCGAACAGGCTATTTCTGTGGCAATGAAACGGTTTTGAAGGTTAGGCATAGTCTATTGTTCATTGGTGATTATGAACGTCTTTTTACATTTAATTTATGAGGATTACGTCTATGGGTGAATTTGACTGCGACAATGTTTCAAAATTAGGAAGGGAAGAGGTGATTATTTGATTATATAGACGCTTCGCCTCTGATCTCCATTGAAGTCTGAAAAGTAAGTTTATAGTGTTCACCATTGCACTACAAATCCTCTGCTCTGTCTCTCAGTACCTCATGATTTTTTAATGGTATTATTTTCTGGGTATTTTTACTTTTTACGTTATCAAATTGTACTCTTTATATACATGACAAAAAAATAGCAGGAATATTTTTAGACAGTCATTTTCTTTCTTTTTAAATTGTGCTCATCAATGAAAATTGAATTGATAATAACTCTAAACAATTGTCGTGAATAGTAAAGAAGAGTATATGAAAACAATAAAAGAATTGGGTAGGCTATAATTTGTCCGAAAAACTACAAGTGCAACATAAAGATGTAAGATGATTTTGTTATTTCCTGATAATTTTTCAGAGGTTTATTAAATGTTCCAGTAGGCCTACTATGTTATATATGTCTCCGAAGAACATTTTTCTTGACTTTTTAAGCTCTTTTATGTACTTGAAATCCTAAAATCCAGAGTTTCACACAAATGAATGTACAACACTTTGAACAAGAAGGGTATAGGGAACTGACTATAAAACCGCTTCCCTCCTCAAAACTTTCCACCCTTCAAAAGTTCCAAAGAAATATCAACAAAGTGGAAAAAAGACCATAGAAAATCTGCTCACTGTTAGATTTTCATCAAACAAAGACAGAAACCAAAAATTTAATTAACCTCCTACTTGGATTCCGAAAATATAAAACTAAAAAATCCTGTATAAAACTCTTGTGGGTATTTTATAAAATAATATACACCTATCTATTATCAACCCAATTTGTTTGCACAAGTTAATTTGTTATGATTTATTCCTGTCATCCACATGAGTTACTTGTCCTATGATGTTCATATTGCCTCCACCTATTATAAACTCTCAAGTTATTTGCCAAAGTTTAACGATTGCCATCATTTCTATCGTCCTGAGCTTTTCGTCTAATAATGTTCTTATAGCCTCCACCTATTATAAACTCAAGTTATTTGCTAAAGTTTAATGATTGCCATCATTTCTATCGTCCTGAGCTCTTCGTCTAATAATGTTGTTTTAGCCTCCACCTATTTTTATAAAAACATCTTTTCCATCGTCCTCAGTTCCTCGTCCAATGATGATCCTGGCACTGGCCCATGCGTCTCTTCACCGGCCACCTTTCCAGTGGCTGCTACAGTTGGAGCCTCGCTGTCAGAAAATGGGAGGACCAGAGACAGTTTCCTGAGACTCTGTGCAGGTTGAGCACCACAGATGGATCATTTCTGCTTTTAAAATGTTACGTAGCTCGATGTACCAGGGAAAATCCTGAAAAACCAAGAACAGTTGAGATTTTTTGGGGGGTGTTTTTGGTACATGTTTGTATTTGTCGCGTGTCCCTTTTTCGGGTACATGCCATATTACTGATCTTATTTGTGTCAGACAAAATTATTCACGAGAATGTGAGTAAGTAAGGGAACGTTCTCTTGTAAGAAAAGTGTAAGAATCAGGGGGTGGTCTTGAACCAATGTAATATTATACAGTCCGTGCCGTCTATAAGCACGCCGGCCTTAAGCACGTTTCGAACTCAAGCACGCTAAATGGCTCTTACCAAATTTTTGCTATATAAATTACACGCCTATAAGCACGGTAACTTCGGCTTCAAGCACGCTTAATTTACAAGGCAGTCAATATTTTCATGATGACCCATCGAAGTTCGAACACAGTTTACACCGCAACAGTGGAGTGTGTCAAGAGAAACACAAAGAACGCAAGTGATAGACACACACGCTCGCACAGGCGGAGAGGAAGGCAGAGAGATGCACACAGCCGTTCGCGCGGACATAGGATCTAGCCTAGGCCTAGGGCAAAGCTACACACGATCAACAAAAAAAAAAAAGAGTCGGGGAGATGAGAAAGGGAGGCTGGCTGCGATTTCACCTTTGACCCTCGCTACCCATTAATCCTGATTGTGTATCACGCACGAGGTGGGATGAAGGCGGTGGTATGAGTGGCACAGCGAGCAGTGGTACGCACAGGCAGTGTGTTACAGTAGGCCTAGTGTGCTGTATCGTGACTGGCCGTCTAAATTAAGTTTTCATTTCCCATTTGACCACAAAACAAAAACAAACAAGCGAACAAAAACTACCATGGCGGGTGTCTAAATAACAGTGCACACTTTTGCGGGACCGCTATAGGCCTACTTACAAACTAAGGGAAATAGCACGGGGAGTTTTCTACATGAAAATCTCTGGATTATGTCTACTTCGCACTTAAGCACGCTTCGGCTTTAAGCACGCTTAAGCTTTCTCCCGATGACCGTGCTTAAAGCCGGCATGGACTGTACTTTTTTCTGATCCCGAGGTGTTGACTTTATCAAAATTCTACTGTAATTTGGGGGTGTTTTGACATTGACATGCATCTCAATTTTTTTCCTTATTAGTATTATTAGTAAGAAAGAGTGTATGCAATATTTTGCTTGAATGATTTACTCTGTTATTTTTTAATGAATGTAGAACTGCATATCTTATTTTATGTGCATGAATGTGTGTACGCATGTTTTTCATGAATATTATGTAAGACGCATATATCAATGATTGTAACACGAATATGAATGTCATATTATTATTATTATAGGCGAACAGTGTAATATTACGGGGGGTGGAGTAGGGGTTAAGAGACAATGTAAGAAGGGGGAGGGGGGGCAAAAAGTCCCCAGAAAGGTGTAAGATTATATTTGAACAGCCCCTAAATACAATGAAAATATTTGAAAACCAAGAAGAGACAAAGAGGATGTCGGATCTTGTTGAGATCTAATGGAGGATATTTGACATTTCTTCTTTTAGATTTTGTCCCCCCGTTCTAGCTCCCTGAGGCTGTCCGGGGCGGTGAGAGACATACCCGTTTCCCACTCTCCTCGCACAGGCTGGAGAGACCGAGTTAGAAACCTTGGAGAGATAATGTGTACATTTTGTTAGCTCTAGACTCTAGCGGGTCTGACGAAAATATTTACTCCACATTTGCTGACTCCAGAGGGGAAAAAGATACGAGTGGAAGATTGTTTTGTTTTGTCTACGGTTACGTAGTTTCTTTAGACTGTGTGTACAAGCATAGCAAGGCTGTCACAAATTTGTAAAGGTGTGAAACCCAAGCAACATGATTCCCATGTCTGTCTTTTCTCTTCTTTAAACTGCTAAAACTGCAAAAGGATGGCACTTGTACATTTTTACTTCTACATAAAATTGTTTGATCCTTCACAAGTTATTGACGTTATTTTTCATATAGTTTTTCTGTTCCCATGTCTGGATGAAAATAGTGTGTGTGTGTGTGTGTGTGTGTGTGTGTGTGTGTGTGTGTGTGCATTAATATATATTGCATGAGAAGAAAGGAAGTAGTAAGAAAGGTTTTGAAAAATGGGTATTCCAATGAAAATGGATTGAGCTCCTTTTTTTGGAAATGCGCTATATAAATGGTATATATTATTATTATTATTATTCTGAGACAGTGCAGTCTAGAGTGTCTATCCCGCTCTGTTCTCAGATAATGTATGCACATTTTTGTGAAAGATTGTGTTAGATTTATTTGAATAAACTTCAAGACAGGACTTAACAAAAGCTGTGTGATGTGTTTGAAAAGTTTCTTTTTGTTTTTGAATTACTTAGAGCTGAGAGTCTTTAGTGTGCATGTGTGAATCTGTCTGTCTCATTCTCTCACTCTTTTTCTCTGTCTATTTGTCTCTCTCTCAGTCTGTCTCTATATTGTAGGCTAATTGTAAGTGTTTAATGCTCCCACCGACACAATTAAGATTATTTAGGAGGTCGGCTACTTCAAGCCTGCCTGTCAAGGTCAACCCTGGCTTAGCGGAATACAACATCTCAGCAGATAGACGGAGATACCCGCTAAAAGAATCTTGGGAATCGAACTGCTACTTTGTGCATGCAATGGCAAAGAACCTTACCACTACACCACAGACATCACTTCTCTCTCTCTCTCTCTCTCTCTCTCTCTCTGTCTCTCTCTGTCTCTCTCTCTCTCTCTCTGTCTCTCTCTCTATCTCTCTTTCTCTGTCTCTCTCTCTCTCTCTTTCTCTGTCTCTCTCTTTCTCTGTCTCTCTCTCTCTCTCCGTCTCTCTCTCTCTCTCTCTCTCTCTCTCTCTGTGTCTCTCTCTCTCTCTCTCTTTCTCTGTCTCTCTCTCCCTCTCTCCCTCTCTCCCTCTCTCTGTCTCTCTCTCTCTCTCTCTCTCTCTCTCTCTCTCTCTCTCTCTCTCTCTCTCCCTCCCTCTCTCTCTCTCTCATACATTCCCATCTCTTACACTTAGAAGAAAGCGGAGATAACGTCTTTCAATATTGTGCAGTTATTTTCAAGTCCTGAACGTTCTGATGGGAATCGAACCAAGATCGTCCACAACAGAGTTCAGTGGGGTAGCAGCTGTATAACAGTACGCCCGAGAGAGAGCCCCTTGAGACTGTTGGGATATACATGTACATAATATCTGCATATTATATATATATTACTTATATAATCACCATCATGATAAGACCTGATAACTACAATCTTTTTATTTCGCTTTTTTTTTTGGTGAAACATTCTACAAGGCATGTGTTATGTGCTGGTGGAGATTGAGAGTCCAATAATATATCATAGGTAGGGTTATTTCCCTTTACTATGGCAGGGTAGATAACCAAATAAATTACGTTTTTAGAGAAGAAAATCCGTAACTTGGGAGGTAGGCCTTAAGTTTTTCACTTAAGGCCAACCCCTCATAAAAAGCATTTGTTCGGCTCAAAACCTCATTTTAATTGTTATGTCCCTTGGGTCCGAGGCGGGGAGATACGCTAAGGCCACATTTTTTTTGTTCAAAAGGCTTAATTCCGGAGTCTGTAATCTTTTCCATAACTATAACAGAAAAAAATTGGGTCTGTCACATTGTTATATATATGTTGTAGTTTTTAAACGCCAAATATGAGTACCAATAGATCAAAATTACGAGAGATAAACGTGTTTGAAAATTGATGCAATTCCCTTTGTATCAAACGTTTACTTTTTATTCATAGGATAGGATTCAGGACCGTATAACTGTTCTCCTCAGCGTAATGTAAAAATTCTGGGTCTGTCACATCGTTATATATCTGTTGTAGTTGTAGTTTTTGTACGCTAAATATGAGAACCAGTAAATTGAAAATAAGAGAAAAATATTGATGCAATTCTCATGTATCAGATGTTTGCTTTTTGTTCATAGGCAAAAGTTAGGACTTAAGTTCTCCTCAGAGCAATGTAAAAAATCTGGGTCAGTCACATCATTATATATTTGTTGTAGTTCTTGTTCGCTAAATATGAGTACCAATAGATTAACATTACGAGAGAAATACATGTTTACTTTTTGTTCATATGATAGAATTCAGAACTTCATAACTGTTTGGTAAGAAAAATCGCCATAACTTTTTAACCAATAAAGATATCACCATTATTTAAACTGTTTTATGATCATTAAGGCAAGAGCTTTCCAAAGGCTGTTTTGTAAACTTAATGGGTATTTAGTGGGTGCTCTGGTGTGGTTTTCTCTTTCTTTCTTGTCAAACATCTCTTGTCCTTATGTCTCCTCCTTCTTTCCTTGTATGTTACGCTTCGGTAGTAACACCAAAGACCGGCTATACACGATCTTTGGTAACACTTTCAATCCGCAGCACTTAATTATAACTTAATTGTGTTGCAAGAGCTGTAAAACTCTCATTACAACTAAAACTTTTGTAAACTTTCTGTGTACTCTCTGTCTGTCACTCTATTTTTATTCCAGAAACGGTAAGTCTTGATCTATTCGTTCCAAAGTGATGCTTGGTGATGTGAATTTTTGTGAAAGAATGACAATGTGTAAATTGAATAAACGTCAAGACAGGACTTGACAAAAATTGTTTGATCTGTGGTTGAAAAGTGAGAGAGGGGAGAGGGAGTGTATGAGTGAGAGAGCGAGAAAATACACGGTTAACAATGTAAGAAAGAGTAAGTGAGAGAGAGAGAGAGAGTAAGTGAGAGAGAGAGAGTGAAAGAGAGTGAGAGAGAGAGAGAGAGAGAGCGAGAGAGAGAGAGAGAGAGACACACACACACACAGACAGACAGACATAGAGAGAGAGAGCAAGACAAACAGACAGACAAACAGACCAAAAGAGAAATAGAGAGAAGTAGATAATGTCATGTACTGATATGTCTTCGTCGTCTGCATAATGTAAGTGATCTTCAAGTCGAAAGAGAACTCAGAGTTTTTTTGTTTTAAGAGATGTAAACCTTTGCATGCTTCACCAGTCACTGTCACCACAGACATACATTTGATGGGCTGGAAGAAAACAGATCAGATATGTCAGATATTTTTAAAGTTTTTGAGAATTATAACTTAGATTTTTCAGACTCATACTCATAGAAAACAAGTTATTTTGTATATTATATATCTGTAGAGCCTGTTGAACAACATAGTTTGTACTTTTACCCTGATACATCCAACCGCTTTCAATTCATTTTTGCATTTTGAAAAATCGGTACACAACCCCTAGCTTGACAAAAGTGTGACATTCTGTTCTTTCATCGAGACCATCTGTAACTTGGTAAATGCATCTAGACGTGCTAGAAAAAATATTTTCAACCAAAAGAAGACAAAGTCAACTCATAAAAATTATAGAAAATTTCAAACACATTTATTACAACAGATAGTAATATAAGGCATACTATAGAAAAATAACAATAACAACATTTATGCAGCATTCACTCGTTCATGCCGTCATTCAAATATTTCAAATCTGTAAAGTTATTGTAAGTGGCACAAGTCATTGTGAATTGATTTGAACCAGTGAAATAAATCAAACAGAATCATTTTCAACAAGTCTACCACACCTGCAAACTCAACAAACAGAATTTCAACGTCTCAAGTCAAGAGACGATTAACATCCTACTATACAGCAGCTCTGACCTGTTTCAGGTTGTTTTCAGTAGGTGTCTTTTACACCCCCATCAACACAATTTAGATTATCTAGGAGGCGGGTTTTGACCCTGCCTGTCAGGACCAACCCGGATTGAGGATACAAAATCCCAGCAGAAAGATCGAGATAATCGATGGAATCTTCTCACCACTTGGGGAGAAAGCCAAACATGGGTCCGATAACAATTTCGTTTAATACAATACACTGGGAATAAGCTAGAAAATATTAGGGATGAGATAGAAAATAATAGGGATCATCTAGAAAATACTAAGGATGAGCTAAAAAATAGTGGGGGATATTCGGAATGAGCTAGAAGATACAGTAGTCTCCGCCTAAGATCCCGGTGCTCGGGAGCATGGAAATGCGGGATCTTAGGCGAACCGGGATCTTAACCGATGAACCCAGGGAAGAATCTATGGTGACCCATGCTAAGGCTCACAGTCGGTAAAATGGTCTCCCTCCACTCTACAATGAACTGACGTGACCCGTTGGTGGGTTTATGACGTATGGCGAGCAAATAGTGGTTAACCTTGATGACCTATCACGGTGCATAGTGGCATGAGGCGTGCCATTTTCACTTATTATCCTATCATAAGTCTCAAGATCTACGCTTATCCAGTTGCCCCTCCTCTTTACTTGTCAAAAATTTATAGCTTTCCATCTCTGGCAGAGTCCCCCCCCCCCCCCTCCAAACCGCCTTTGTCGTTACATACCATTACGTTGTGAACCCACCAATTAAAATTCAGTCTGTCTCGCAAATTCGGGAGTACAGACAACTGCTGCAGTGATCAAGGAAGAGTTCACGGTTCGATGTGATCCTGCCTGGAGTGAACGTGTAGGCCCTACCCACCCAGCAAGTGATGCAAGCTTAGGTGGCGAGCTCAGGTGTGAGTGCGATGCGTGGGGAAAACAAACGCGTCGGTCAGTTCACACCCCGGTGTGATCCCGTCTGGGGCAAACATTGTATCGCTTCATCGAGTTTTACGACGTGTATGTGATCACATTCACGATAGTGGTTGATCTTTGACGAGACGGACAGTTTATTGATCTCAACTTTTCACTCTATGTTGATCGGCTGTGCTCTCCCGGGTTTTTGTTTTACCAATTATGATCTGAAATGCGGGATCTTAGCCGAATGTAGACCATCAGAGCGGGATCTTTGGGGTGACTTTTGTATAGTAAAAATTCTGTTTTCCTAAAACAACGGGATCTTAAGCGAACCGGGATCGTAAGCGGTGGGATCTTAGGCGGAGACTACTGTATTAGGAATGAGCTAGAAATAATATGGATAATCTAGAAAATACTGGGAATGAGCTAGAAAATAATAAGAATAATCTAGAAACTACTGGGGATGAGCTAAAAAATAATGGGGAACATTCTGGATGAGCTATAGAAAATATTAGGGATGACCTAGAAATTACTAGGGATAAATATTAGGGACAATCTAGAAAAATACTGGGGATAAGGTAAAAATTATTAGGGACGAGCAAGAAAATAATAAGGATAATCTAGAAAATACTGGCGATGAGCTAAAAAACAGTGGGAAATATTCAGAATGGTCTGGAAAATATTAGGGACGAGCTTGAAAATACTGGGGATGAACTGGAAAATATTAGGGATGAGCTAAACAATACTGGGAGTGAGCTAGAAAACACTGGGGATGAGCTAGAAAAAATAAGAATAATCTAGGAAATATTGATGATAAGCGAGAAAATATTACGAATGAGCGAGAAATTATTGGGGATGAGCTAGAAAATATTACGAATGAGCGAGAAATTACTGGGGATGAGCTAGAAAATATTACGAATGAGCGAGAAATTACTGGGGATGAGCTAGAAAATCTTAGGGACAATCTAGAAAATACTGGGGACGAGATGAAAAATAGTGGGAAATATTCGGAATGGGCTCTAAAATATTAGGGAGGAGCTAGAAAATACTGGGGACGAGCAGGAAAATATTAGGATTGAGCTAGCAATCATATGGAAAATCTAGAAAATACTGGGGATGAGCTAAAAAATATTATGGATGAGCTAGAAATAATATGGATAATCTAGAAAATACTGAGAATGTGCTAAAAAATAAAGGGGAATATTCTGGATGAGCTATAAAAATATTAGGGATAACCTAGAATATACTGGGAACGGGCTCGAAAATATTATGAATGAGCTAGAAAACACTGATTGTGAGCTAGAAAATAATAAGAAAAACCTAGAAAATACTGGGGATGAGCTAGAAAATATTAGGGATCAGTAAAAACTAATAGGGATAATCTAGAAAATACTGGGAATGAGCTAAAAAAGTGGGGAATATTTGGAATGGGCTAGAAAATATTATGGATGACCTAGTAAATACTGGGGATGAGTTAGAAAATACTGGGGATGAGCTAAAAAAAAAAAAAAAAAAATTCTGGGGATGAGCTAGAAATTACTGGGGATGACCTAGAAAATATTAGGGACAATCTTGAAAATACCGGGGACAGATTAAAAATAGTGGGAAATATTCGGAATGTCCTAGAAAATATTATGGAGCAGCTAGAAAATACTGGGGACGAGCTGGAAAATATTAGGGATGAGCTAACAATAATATGGAAAATCTAGAAAATACTGGGGATGTGCTAAAAAAGAGGGGGGGGGGGGGGGGATATTCTGGAAGATCTAGAAAATATAAGGGATGACCTAGAAAATACTGGGGATGAGCTAAAAATTATTAGGGCAGAGCTAAAAATTATTAAGGATGAGCTAGTAAATAATAGGAATAATCTAGAAAATACTGGGGATGAGCTAGAAAATATTACAAATGAGCTAAAAACTACTGTGGATGAGCTACCAAATATTAGGGATGAGCTAGAAATAATAAGGATTATCTAGGAAATACTGGGGATGAGCTAAAAAATAGTGGGGAATGTTTGGAATGAGCTAAAAACTATTAGGGAAGAGCTAGAATATACTGGGGACAAGCTGGAAACAATTAGGGATGACCTAGTAAATACTGGGGATGAGCTAAAAAATACTGGGGATGAGCTAAAAAAAATGGTAGGGAATATTAGGGAAGAACTAGAAAATACTGGGGATGAGCAAGAAAATATTATGGATGAGCTGGAAAATAATAGGGATCATCTAGAAAATACTGGGGACGAGCTAAAAAAAATAGTAGGGAATATTCGGAATGAGCTGGAAAATATTAGGGAAGAGCTAGAAAATAATAGGGATCATATAAAAAAATACTGGGGATGAGCTAAAAAATAGTGGGGAATATTTGAGATGAGCTAGACATGAGGGTTTTTTCCGATCCACACAGATCCACTCAATTATCCACATCTCTTTGTCTGCTTCATCTTTCGTCCAGTCAAATCTACCGACAGATCCTGTTGATGACTATCTCTGAGTAAGCAGCGCTGATGTCCCCTTCAACATGGTAGCGTCGTGAATGTTCTCCGGACAGATAGCTGAACATTTCTGTCAGGTTCTGACGTTCTGAAGACATCTGTCAGTGGAAAGAAAGAAAGAGAGAAGATGTTTTTGTATGGATTGCAACAGCCGGTCATCACGTCGTACATAAAAAAAAACGTGTAAAATAAAATTTTTTGATTCATTATGAAGAGATACAGGACTTACAGGCTTCAGATTTCCAAGAATTACAACATTTATAGATCCATGTGACAAGGGCTATAACTCAAGGACAGTACAACTAAAACTGAAAGCCTGACTGGCACAACGTAAAATATTTGTTACCAGATAGTTCAAACTAGAAGTATCTCATTGCTCTGTGGATTAAAAATGGGACAAGAATTTATTCAAAATTTTTCAACAGCTCCCAGATACCATAAGATCTTACTGATGCCATATATAAATGGCAACATTATCTTCCAAAATTGTTCCTTGTTGAATAAAATTTTTTTAAACATTTAAAGTTCAAGAACAAATTGTAATCTCTACCAATGAATAAAGTGCTGAATCTACAAGAGCCTGGGGTACCCGAGAAATCACAAAGTACAGCGGAAATTGTCCAAGACAGCCACCCATTATTGAGGAGAAAAGTGATTGTTTTAGACAGGTGGTTGTCTTGGACAGGTGTTATCATAATTCAGGAAAATACAAAGGGGAAGTGGGAAGTGGCCGTTTGTACAGGTGATTGTCTTAGACAGGTGGCCATTAAGGCAGGATCAACTATAGTTGTAATTTGAAACCTGAAAACCCACACAAGAAATGTACACCGATGATATCTACCATTGACATTTTTTTGACATTCTCCCCTACCACCGTTTTCTTCCCACACACAGGTAGAGAGGAGCGGTCAGAGAGATACTGACTCCATATTGGCACTGGCTTGACCGGCCTCAGACCACAGGGATTGTCTCTCACATACGGCAGGGAACACTGCTGGGGATGACAAATGACAATCCTCTTCTTTTCTTTCTTTCTCTCAACAAATTCACATCTGGGTAATCTTTTCATTACTATAAGCAAATATGAAAATGATATCACTACAAATAATTTTTAAAAAAATAATAAAGATAATAATAATAATAATATTAACAATAATAATATTAATAATAATTTGATGATGATTATAATACTAATAATAATATTACTTTACTACTACTACAAATAAGATTAATAATTAATTACACTCGCTGAATTAAAATCTCATGGACTTACGGTGAGAGTTAAGCATTTGTTATTGCCAATTGTTGTTGAAAATGTGGCACTGCTGTGTTCCGCAACACTAATTACAATACTAATAAAAATAATAGAAACTCTAACACGAATATGTCCAACACAGAAGACTAGAAATCATGCATCCGTCGAACTGGCTGCGCTCCCGTTTCTCTACTGCTTTATCTTTGTAAGATATCCCAGGAACTACCCATCTCTCGAACTACCGAGGTCGGTCCTGACCAATTCGAGCTGTCCGTGTTATACTGTAATAATAATAATGATAATAATAATAATAATAATAATAATAATAATCATGATAATAGCAATGATAATAATAATAATAATAGCAATGATAATAATAATAATAATAATAATGATAATAGCAATGATAATAAGAAGAAGAAGAATAATGATAATAGCAATGATAATAATAATAGCAATGATAATAATAATAATAATAATAATAATGATAATAGCAATGATAATAATAATAAAAATGATAATAGCAATGATAATAATAATAATAATAATGATAATAGCAATGATAATAATAATAATGATGATGATAATGATAAAAATAATAATAATAATAAAAACCGTTCAACTGTCCATGTTTAACGATCATCAGTGCATCTGCAGAAGGAATGTCCTTCATGTAATAACGACACTGTAACAATCTTACAATCTTTTCTTCCACGACTGGATAGCTAAAGATTTACATTTCTACTGTTAGAAGTTGTTGGGAAGAAGTAAAAATAATTTTTTGCAAAAAAATTTGACCTCTTAATTTAAAAACAAATTTCCCTTAGGGCCCTGTATTAAAAACAGCTCTTTGGATGCATACACAGGATCACTAAAATAAATGACTTACAGTAACCTTGATTACAAATTGCTCATTTTGAGACCGCGACACAACCCTGCCCTATATTTCAGTGAAAGTTTGTCGGTTACATCTCCCAGCTGTCTAGACGTTTCCACGCGAGTCTCGAAAATTACTCACCCTGTCTGTAGAATCGCGTTTCTTAGGTGAATGGTTGAGTGTAGTGTTGAGAACTATGGCGGTATCTCAAGGAAGGGCGAGATTTCTTTGGCACTCAGGTACAGACAACTGTTGGGATCCGAAACAAAATAAAAATGAAACAAATACGTAGAAACATAATTCTAAATAATGCAACCGGAGGATCTTGAAAAAGCTCCAGATAAAGAACTGTTTATTTATAGATTTAATTTGACCACAAAGCTCACTTATTTTGGCTCACAAAAACACAGAAGCTCTGTATAAAATAATTATCCGAAGAAAGGTATCAGAAAACAGAGGAAGGGGAAGACCAAGAAAAAGACGGGAACAGCTAGAGCATCAATGACTTGATTGGAGCAAATATCAGCCCAGCAGAAAGAGAAACAAATAGTGGTGGCAAAGGGAAACCAAGAGGGAAATGGGAAAATCACTTTCTGAAGCAAGGAGCATTTTCTGATCTGTAGCTTTCCATTCTGTCCAATTTTCACTTTCTTTAAGCTCTATCTGTTTTTTGTTGTACGAAATTTTCAAGATAACAAGCTTACAAAAGACAAAACTTTATTTAAAAATTGACATGAACATTTCTAATTTATTGAGCGAGAACCTAAATATATATATGTTATCTAAATTAACCTTTCAAATCATTATTTTGATAAAAGCTTGTAGATTTTGAAAGAATGATAATGAATACTGTTTGGCATTGTTTTTATACATTTTTTTTTGCATTGGTAGGAAATTTATTATTTTCCGCCTGGTGCTCGATATTGAACAAGGTGACATATCAGAGGTTTTCTGAGGCCACCAAATGTACGTTAAAAATCATTGTGGAACACTACCAAAGATCGTGTATATACAGAACCTTTGACGTTACCAGCTAAAACTCGTTCACAAGGTGGCCTGATAGAATAGATAGAATCTGCGGCAAAGAACAGAACCATGAGAGCACAGACGTTGGTAATGTATGGAATGAGTCAACATAGGTGTAGAGGGAGATGATAAAGAAAAGTCGACCACTGGACCACTGTGTTGAAGGGCGGCCGGGACAAGAACATTGCGTGAGTGGTCACAGATGAGAAGAGGGACACAACATATTAAAGGTGTAATGTTAGTATACACACACGACTGTAAACTGGAGAGACGAACACACACGACAGCAAGCATTCTAATAGTGAGCCCGGGTGTAGTGTCTGAC